TCACTGCAGAGTCAGTAACGACTGAGCGCAGATTAAAAAAAAAAAAAAATTAAGAATAAGGGTGGGAATGGGAGTGAGGCCTTTGGGGCCTGTTTCCAACCTCTAAAGCCCAAATCCTTCCAAAAACATCCTAAAATCCTGCTGTGGAGTTCCATCACTTTGTCACTAAAGTTCAACAGTCCAGTTTGGGGGCATTTAGAGGGGGGGTGATTTAAGTGCTGCATGGGGATAGTCTGTCTCCAAGAAGTCGGATTACAAATCTTTCCCTGTGTTATAGTTGGGAAACTCTAAGCTAAGCTATATGGAGAATATATGTAGAATATATGTAGAAATGTGGCACTATTATTAAATAAGTTCTTCATTAAGCCCCTGAATCTTGATTACGCTTGGAAATAATCAAGTCTAGAAAATCAGTAGCTAATATAATTGTTTTAAAGGTGTTTTTAATCTACTCACCAGCAGCGATTTTATATACTACTTTTTCATTCAAACTTTTCTCCCCATCAATAGCATGGAGGGGTCCTGGCTCCAAGATCAGTGGCCCACTCTGCAATGACAACAACGTAAATCCTTTTCTGATGGTTCCAATAATTTGTTTGTTTAATGATACATTGTAAATGTGGCCTCGAACTGAGGTCAATTGGAACCCATAGAATGATGCATGAAATAGGACAGCCCCAGTTACATAATTTCACAATGATAAAGTGGCTATATTTCCTGACGATTGATTGATTGATTGATTGATTTGTTTATTAAATTTGTATGCCTCCCATCTCCCGCAGTGGGTGACTCTGGGCGACTCACTTTACAACTATCTGGCCTCTGAGGATGCTATGTTCAGCCCCTGTTCTTTCACGTCAACTCTCTCTGCCACCTCTCAGCCGATTCATCCCTGCTTTCTGTCATGTCAAAGGGACATTCTCAGATATTTGCCCTGCCCCGAACCTGCCGGTTTGAATGTTACAGCAAACCTCAAAGCAGTTACGGGTTTACTAGCAAAAATTCATCTTGGTCTCCTGATGAACTAATCCATAGAGGGAGGAGTTGCTTACCTCCCCCCTTTCCCCAAGATACTGTGTATATTATATGGGACATTACTCAAACTGGGTACAAGAACCAAAAAAGCAGTTGGGGCCTCAGATGGGGTTCCATTAGTTGGATTGTAAAAGATGGAAGTAGCCTATGGTCATAAAGTTTAGCTACATCAGCTACTTCTCTTACTAAAGGTGGTACATGTCCCTCTGGCTGTTGCCCTCTTTGTCCTCTGGGTTTAACCTGGCAGGCTGAGGTGGCATTGCCACCTCAGACCTGGCATTGCTATACCTTGAATCCATGAAGGTCAAATGTAAAGAGCAACACAGGCCCAAGGAGAGGCAAACCAAAATTAAACAAGGCAACTTTTGAGTGGGGGCCCAGTCTAAGAATCTTGTAAACGTACCACATCTTCTGAGAGACTGACTTTGCCAGTGTAGCCAAGACTGATACACATTATACGTTCTTCAATGACAGTACATGGCTGAAACCAGGGAGGTCTGAGGTCAGATTCTATAATCCGTATGTATATTGTGGCTGTAGCTGTGTGTATCCCTGCTGTACCAGCTCTCCCATCCTAGGCAAAAGAAGAATAAAGGAGAACAAATGGGAAAAGGTTAATCAGCTAAAAGGTATTGTTGAAGTATCAGATCAACCCCTTCTAGTACATTTGCAAAACCAGGTGATGATCTAAGGACAGGTGATGATCTAAGAAGTGGCATTGCTTACACACCCTATTCTAAAAGCCACCATCTTCCTCATTCTCCTCATTGAAAGGGGAGCTCTCCAAGCTCATTCATTTACACATGGATCAGAGCTAGGCACAAATGAATCGGGAAACTTTTGCTGCCTCAAGATACCTAAGCCAGACCTCTGAGAACTGGCAGTTGTCATGATTGGCAGTTTCAGCTTTATCTGTGAAAATGTAAGAAAAAATTAGGCTGGCAGATGATAAAACATGCAAATATTTTGTTTGCTATAAAACTCACCATGGCCCTTAAAGTAAACTCCATAAAATTAATTGCTTCGTAATCCAGGTCTTTACGCAAGTAAATTTGTGGGTTGTTAATTCCTTGTATACTGAAATAATCCATTGCTTGCTATCAGTCAACAAGAAAGAGAGAATGCCAATTTTAAACACAGATATAGCAAATAATACATTACATATACAATTCTGAGCTAAGTATATGGTTTGTCATCTTATTTCGAACCTCAAGGAAAGTGAATCATAGAGATTCTATACTGTTTTTCTTCCATTCTACATAATAAATGCAAGTGTCCATATATTGATGGGTTCTTTTAATCTTTCTTTTTAAATGACAGTTTCCATTTCTTCTGATGAGAGACATCATTAATTATATTGATTAATAGAAGGGTACAACCGGCAGGGAATCCACTGGAAGGAGAAACTCAGTCTAATGCAAGTTCATTTTACAGTTGGATTTTTCTTAATTTATTAAGGGAAAATAAGCTACTCTCTTCCAAAGAAATGTATTTCATGGCTGAACTGCTCTTACTGGTATATTCTATGATTTATCTAACATGACCATCCTGTAGATTAAACCTGCTGATTTCAGTCCAAAAACATTTCTTCCTTTCACCTCCACTTGAAAGAAAACACTTGGATGAATGTGTGACACTGTTCTATCTGATAATGGAATTACTAAAACATTTGACATGAGGCAGATTTTCAGGACTGATCTCTCTCTCCTCCCCAGTGTAGGCAGAAAAAGAAGCAATCTTCAGAGAAGAGAGAAACAATGTGTGTCCGGCTTTGGAAGATTGCCTGTCTGGAAGGAGTTTAGCCCTTGATATAGTTGAATTTATATTCCACATCTGAAGAATTAAGTCGAGCTATATACTAACTGGTGGACTTCCTTCAAGGCTGTAGAACAAGACATCAAGGTCAGCATCAGTAGCGGTTACGTTTGCCAGGGGTATGACGGTTGTGTTCACTTTTGTATCCTGGGAAGGGAAAACGTATTTTTAGAGGCTTTTTGGTTCAATCCACAGAAATACACATACACACCACATTCTCAAAAGACCAAGGAACTCCAAACCCAAAAATGCAGTCCAGAAAAATAAAAAAGAGCAATGAATTCAGGACAAAATTAGGCCTGATCTTCGTTTCATTAATGCAATCCCCATGAGGTAAATAACACCCAGGAAGTGGTCTGAGCAGCCTCAGAACAAAAGATTGGGTGATAAAAAGTTGGGTCTCTCTCTCTCTCTCTCTCTACCCCCCCCCATCCCAAACGTTGCTATACTGATTTGCATTTTAGGAAAATTTCCATTAACACCAGTGAAAGCTGCTCAGGCTTCATCTTGCTGATTAAATTAACATCAAATCCACTTTGATTCTGTAAATTCAGTCTCTTAATCAACTGAGAGCCAAAATTAAGTTTCTGAGAGAGCTGAGTTCTATCTACAGTTTACTTATTCCACAACATTATTTTAACCTCACGGTAATCTTACTGATCAGCCAGGGAGCTGAATGACTAGATGGGTTTTCAAATCCAGTATTACTCCAGGCCTGCTCAATAACCAAGATAAAACATCAGCCTCTTAATCCTCAGCACCAGAATAAACAAGTATTAATTATTTATAATACATTAGAAATGCTACCAAAGCTCAGACATTGGGCAGGGCATCAGATAATTTATTATATGTAGAGGGGAATCTGAGCTGTGATTTAAGGTTGCAGTAAACATACTTGGCAATAGCATTTTAGAAGATAAAGTGTGCAAAGATCTGTTTGTCACATAGAAATAAATCTGTAAATGTTATTTAACATGTTAAAATTTTTGTGCTGTCTTCAGTTAACACTGGAACTAGTTGCATTTCAGTACTTAACTGATTTATAATTAGGGAAGGCATTTACCTTCTTTTACATTTTATTTAATTTGCCATAGAATTCTTTTTAAGGCCTTTTTAAATAGTGTTCACCTATCAGTAGAATGCATACTTTGGCAGAAGCATTTCTCCATTCTGACCCTGGCCACTGAGGAGCAGATCTGGAGGGGGAAGGAAGGAAGGAAGGAAGGAAGGAAGGAAGGAAGGAAGGAAGGAAGGAAGGAAGGAAGGAAGGAAGGAAGGAAGGAAGGA